GAGTATCCTTTGAAAATATGATGCTACAAATATATCAATCTGTCTACAAAATTTATATATCTCATAATCATAATTAAATTATGTCATATACACAATGAAATCCAATTATATATTAATTACCACAATATAATTCTTCCTATACAAAACAACTATATTCATACTTGCAAAAGTGACTAATAGAAGATAAAATTCTTAAAAAATTAAAATAAACCTATAAAATTTTTCAATCATATACTACTTTAATCACAAAACAAAATGACATAAACTACTTATAAATCAATCGCTATGTCAATGAATGAACAAAAACCAAGCAAGACGTATTGAATTACATTTTGGGTCACTAAAAAATATGCTTAATTCAAAAACCATGTAACGAGAGAAATTGAAATCAATGTAAGCAATTTTAAATTTTTCGACAGAGTATCCTTTGAAAATATAATACCACAAATATATCAACTTGTCTATATAACTTATATATTTTAGAATCATAAGCAAACCATGTCATATGCATATATATATATATATATTTGATTAGATATACATACTGATTACTAAAAAAAACATCATAATATTAACCATCGTCATCCCTAAACATGACTATTTACCAATTGCTTTAGGCATCAAAACAATAATATCCATTGTTCTGCACGTCATACACTCATAGTTGTGCCTAAATATATAGTACAATTGCAAAATAAACTCATAATTATGACTAAACATAAATAAGATTAAAGAATGACCACAATTTTAAATGGAACAAACACTTGGTGTCCAAAGTGTATGAGTTTGTTTGTGTGTGTGTGTGTGTGCGATTTGTGTGTATGTGTGTGGTGTGCGCTGTGGGTGTGTGTGTGCAATGTGAATACAGAAATAACCATTATATCGATCATTTTCTCTAATGGAGATTAGTGTGTGTTTGTGTGTGAGAGAGAGATCAGGGATACCTGAAAATGGTTAGCAATGGAGGTGGTGTTGTCGACGAAGTAGCGATGGTGCTGGTGGTGTCGCTGGGGGCATAACAGAGAGAGAGAGAGAAATGGCTCGTCTGACAGAAGCGAGGGGGAAAAAAAAGAGATGGGGTGAGGTGATTGAATATTGATCGAGAGGTTAAAATTTTGAAAAATGTTAATGGGTGAAAAATGATGATTTTGGGGGAAATGAAAGGTATATTAATGGTCGTTTGATGAATTGATTTGAGACCGTTAGATTTGTTTGTTGAAGGTGCCCTGTTTTATATTAGGGAATTTAGAGGATGGTCCCCTATATAGATTTATTTGGAGATAAATTGGACAAGAAAACTTATTTGGTTTTAAGACTTTTTTTTGTCAAGTTTACTATTGTATTCCTACCCTATAGAATAACAACAAACGACATTTGATAATTATAAAAAGTTACATAGGTTAGATCATTGAAGTATATATGAAAATCATTTATTAAATATTCTAATAATTAACGGAAGTTTTATATGGAATGCATATATTCTGATAGTTATATATGGAAGTTTAATGTACGAATAAATTATTGGTATATTAAGTAAAATTCTGATCACAAAAATTCCTTAACAATTTAAATTCAATAGTAACATGATACAAGCAAAATTAAAAATTGAATTCAAATAGCTTAACTCGATTACCAGTGTTAATCACAACTATACTATATTAATTACGACTCAAAAAATTAAAAATTGTGTGATTGACGGCAGATTTAGTGGGTTGGGCTTTGGCAGCCCTCTTGGGCAGCACCATGCTCCATGGCTCGACTCACCCCGTTTAATTGAGTTGTAAGACCCAAATTCGTGGGACGGTGGGTAGTTGGAAAAGTCATTGTGACCGTTAGTTTTCTATCTCATCCCGCGGCTAAACCATTGTCAATAACACCAAAGTAGACCAGACCCCCTGCACTAATGCCCTCTCTGCAACTCTCTCTGAGTATCTCTCCACTCACTGACCCTACTCTCTCTCCTCAACCCAAACCTCAATCTCTCTTGCTCGTGCCACACACCCCTCTAAGACCCAAACACCTCCTGTGTTGTCTCTTTGCCACTGCAAAAAATGCGATTATCGTTGAAGACCAAAACGCCGTCGTTAATGGAAGAGTGGGAGCCGATACCGGTGTTCCGGCGGAGGAAGACTTATTATTGCCGGCGGGGCTCCAGAAAGAGTTCATGCCGAAGCACGTGGCGGTAATAATGGATGGAAACAGAAGGTGGGCCCGGATGAGAGGCTTACCAGTCGTGTTGGGTTATGAAGCGGGTATTAGGGCATTGAGAAGGGTTATGGGTCTGTGTTGCAAGTGGGGGATTATTAGGGTTCTTACTGTATTTGCATTTTCATCAGATAACTGGTTTCGACCAAAAGTATGTTCATTTTTGCCTTTCGCTTGTGTTTGATCTTCAAAGTTAGTAATTTTTTCCTTTTTTCCTCTGTTTTTCGTCTTAGTTTTAATTTTTTCTACATTAATAAGTGGTTTGTTTTGGTTTTATTGGGTACAAAAGGTGGAAGTTGATTTCTTGATGCGCTTGTTTGGAAGAGGATTGAAAGATGAGCTCGAGAACTTTGTCAGGTAATCATCCTTAAAAGTATCTCATTGATTCTATCGATTTCCAAATACACAGAGAGAGAGAGAGAGAGCAGTTATATTTACAAACTTTATGATGAACAAACTCTGTCCATATTCTTGGTAACTTATCAGTTGTTCATGGAAGAATAGATCCATCTCCCATAAACCATAAGCTCAGTTGTTAAGCAAACAGACAAGTAATAAAGGGAGACTTAGTATTCATCACAATTCAAATTAATCTCTTGTAACTTGAATGGGACATATAAATCTAGGAGTAATAGTATGATTCAGTAGGTGCTCGAGGCATCTACGTAGGGATGTTCCTCTAATCTAGTGACACAAAACCCACCAAGAAATATGTCTCTTGAAGTCCATAGTCCATGTACCCCAAATGTTAGGTGTGCCTCTAGTTTGTCCTTCCTAACACCATGAGTAAGTGGATCGGTACTAGGTAATAAAATTTTTTTCTGTGGAAAATTGCATAGCATGCTGTAAAGAGTATGTTGATGGAGCAGCAGAGGTGTTTATGCATGTCTGAATTTGTAGATTCAAAATTATCTTTCACATGATCTTATGTTTGTTGCTATTACTATACTTTCACTTGGTAACTGGTGTTTTTCAGTTTTCTGTCTGGTTACAAGTGTGGTAACTTGATTTCTGACTACTTGATTATATATACCAAAAAACTTTAGCCCACAACCGAGAAAGTAAGAATGTACCCTGTATCACCGACGGATCTGCGGCTCAGTCTGTGGCATAATGGCGTAGACACGCCCCTAAGTCCTTGAAGTCCCAGCTTATGAGCCCTGGCCTCGTCCTCGACCCATGCCTTGGCCCATCTGGCCAGCTTGCGGTGTCCCCGCACAAGAAATAGTAGGACCTTGTGCTGCACCCAGGAATTAGTACTAGTTTCCCTGACCCATAGTAGGGTACTGAGGAGCATACTGCGTCTGTGGTTGTCCCATGGAAGTCTGAGACTATGAGGACCCATGACCTTGGGATCCCTGCCTCTGAGGATAATCCTCTTAATGTGACCCGGTTGGTGGCAATGATAGCAAGTCCTCTGGCCAGCCTAGTAGGAAGGCCTCTGATTTCTCCCACCTTGAGAGGATTGACCTTGGCCTTGGCCTTGATAACTGCGGCCCTATCCCTGAAACCCTAGTGGAGTAGAAGTCATCTGCTTCTTCCTCGAGCTAGAAGAAGAGGATTGACCCTCCTTCTTCTTGTCTTTTGCACCAGACTCCTGGATGCTCCTTGCGTCATCCACCTCTCTCTCAATGGCCATGGCTGTGGTGACCATCAAATCGAAGTCTTGTCGGAGAAGACCCACAATCTTACCCCGGATGGATAACTTCAGCCCATCCTCAAATTTCCTAACCTTGGCCATATCTGTGGCCACATATTGGTCAGCAAAATGTGCTAACTTAGTGAATTTATCCACGTATTCCATCACGGACATCGTTCCTTGCCTCAAATCAAGAAACTCCCGGGCCTTCGCATGCCTCGCAGCTACCGGGAAGTATTTTCCCATGAAGAGTTCCTTGAACTCTACCCATGTCATGGCCTCCAAGTTCTTGGAGTCTTTCATCCAATTTCACCATACTTGGGATTCCCCCTCTAGCTGGAATGTAGCTAGAGTTATTTTGGTGTCATCAGAGGTGATCTCCATTGCCCTCAAGATCTTGTCAACCTGTCGAAACCAATGATCAGCTACCATTGGGTCCGCCCCTCCCATGAAGATCGGCAGTTGATGTGCCTTGAACTTCTGGAGATGACTGGAGCCTCCTTGGCCTCCACTTGTACCCGTCTGTGTGATAGTGGCAACTACAACACCAAGAGCCTCTATGAAGGCATGTTGGTCAGCAGTAGGTGGTGGTTGGTTGTTCTGCCCACCGCCTCGACCTCAACCGCGTCCTCTTCCTCTTGTTGCTATCTACACACATGTCAAATGACCATAGAATATTCACATCAAATAACATTCCAATGTAGGGATCAAACATGAAACATTGAGATTTTATTTCCTTGTTTTCCTAGTAGAGTCTATATCATCCACTAGAAAACATTTAAGCATGAACTATTCATTCATTTTTTTCTGCCTCCCAAGGTTATGTTTTCTAACCCTAGTGTCTCTTTCCATATACATTTTACTATGTATATCATTCCTATAATCACCTAGCAAGTTATCATGTTTCACATAACACGTTGCACAAAACATGTAACAATTTAAGCACATAAGATGAGGTGCACAATGCATGTAATAGTCTAGTCCCAATGCCCAACAAGCCCTAGGTAAATCCGATAACCTAAGCTCTGATACCAAGCTGT